AAGTTGGGCCACGATCGCGCTCAAGCGGTAAACGACGAGGTCGAGCGCCTATCCAAAGCGGGTTCTATCGTCGAAGTGCGTTACCCGGGGTGGCTCGCGAACCCGGTCGTGGTGAAGAAGAAGAACGGCAAATGGCGTGTCTGCGTGGATTTTACCGATCTCAACAAGGCGTGCCCCAAGGATAGCTACCCGTTCCCGCATATCGATCGGCTCGTAGAGGCAACAGCAGGGAACGAGCTACTATCCTTCATGGATGCTTTCTCCGGTTACAACCAGATCCAAATGCATCCGGACGATCGGGAGAAAACAGCGTTCATAATTGATCGAGGGACCTACTGCTACAAGGTCATGGCGTTCGGCTTAAAAAACGCTGGAGCAACGTATCAACGCCTGGTGAACAAGATGTTCGCGGAGCAGCTCGGCAGCACCATGGAGGTATACATCGACGACATGCTCGTCAATTCGCAACGCGTCGAGGATCACATCGGACATCTCAGCACCTGCTTTGACAGTCTCAACAAGCACGGGATGAAGTTGAACCCGACCAAGTGCACCTTCGTAGTCACCTCGGGAGAGTTCCTTGGATACATCGTCACGAAGAGAGGTATCGAAGCGAACCCCAAGAAGATAGCGGCTGTTCTGGAACTCCCCTCGCCAAAAACCACCCGCAAAGTACAACGCCTGACCGGCCGAATCGCGGCGCTCAATCGCTTCATCTTGAGATCGACAGACAAGTGCCTCCCTTTCTACCAGCTGCTCCAAGGAAACAAACGCTTTGAATGGGACTCCAAGTGCGAGGAGGCTTTCCAGGAGCTGAAGCTCTACCTCTCGACGCCCCCGGTCCTTTCGAAACCTGAGCCCGGCGAAACGCTTTACCTGTACATCTCGGTGTCCAGATCGGCAGTCAGCGGCGTTCTAATCCGTGAAGACAGAGGAGATCAGAAGCCGAAGCCGATCTTCTATGTCAGCAAGACCCTGGACGACACGGAAACGCGCTACCCAACGCTAAAAAAGCTAGCCCTCGTAGTCGTCACGTCCGCCTGCAAACTTTGACCCTACTTCCAGTCTCACTCAGTGGTCGTCCTGACAAACCTCCCGCTACGAACGATCTTGCACAGCCCGACGCAGTCTGGCCGCATCGCCAAGTGGGCAGTAGAGTTAAGCGAATACGATATCGAATATCGTAACCGAACATGCGAGAAATCCCAGGTCCTGGCCGACTTCCTGATCGAGCTCCCCCCGGACATGATCGGCGCCGACCCCAACGTAAGAGAAAGCTGGACACTGCACGTAGACGGTTCATCCTCAAGGAACGGCTCTGGGATCGGCATTCGATTGGAATCCCCGACAGGCGAAATCCTCGAACAATCGTTCCGCCTGGCATTCCCGGCATCCAACAACGAAGCTGAGTACGAGGCCCTCATCGCTGGAATGCGCCTGGCGAAGGAGATCGGCGCCAAAAAACTGCAAGCGTACTGCGACTCCCAGCTCGTCGCCAACCAGTTCAGCGGAGAATACGTCGCCAAAAACGATAGGATGGACGCCTATCTCAAAGTGGTTCCAAGTCTTGGCTCGAGAGTTCGACACTTTCGCCTGACAAAAATCCCCCGAAGCGATAACTCCTCTGCCGATGCGCTCGCCGCTCTCTCCTCGACCTCAGACCCCGACCTACGCAGAGTGATACCTGTGGAAAGCATCGGCATGCCGAGCATCGACATAGGCGAAACAAGCATGGCCATCGTCACGCTCGAACCCGGGGTCGACGATGCCGAGGAGATGAACGAACCGATGGATCCCGAGCAGGTCCTGCTACCCGACGACTGGCGAGAAGAAATACGAGACTACATTCACGACGGCAAAGTGCCGACCGATCGATGGGCCGCTCGGCGTCTCAAAGCAAAAAGCGCCTACTACATGGTCCTGGACGGCAATCTCTTCAGGCGAAGCGCCTCCGGTCCCCTCATGATTTGCGTCTCCGGTTCTGAGTCCCGCCTCGTCATGGAAGAAACCCACTCGGGTGCAGGAGGAAACCACTCGGGAGGACGAGCCCTAGCAATGAAAATCAAGAAGAACGGCCATTTCTGGCCGACCATGATAGCCGATTGCGAGGCCTTCGCCAGCAAGTGCGAACCCTGCCATAACATGCGCCGATCATATCCCGACCGACCGAGGAACTAACCACGTCCACGGCGCCTTACCCTTTCATGCGATGGGCCATGGACGTCGTCGGACCGCTCACAAGATCCCGCAGAAACGTTTCATCCTGATCGTCACGGATTACTTCACCAAGTGGGTCGAGGCCGAATCGTACGCCAACATCAGGGCCGAAGACGTCGAGAAGTTCGTCTGGAAGAACATCATCTGTCGGCACGGCCTCCCCTACGAGATCGTCACGGACAATGGTACCCAGTTCACGTCGGCAACATTCGAGAAATTCTGCGCAAGTTGGAACATCCGCCTCAGCAATCGACTCCCCGATACGCACAAGGGAACGGCCAGGCCGAAGCCACGAACAAGACGATCCTCGCCGGAATCAAAAACGGCTCAGGATAAAAAAGGAATTTGGGCCGACGAGCTAGACGGAGTCCTGTGGTCCCATCGAACGACGCCACGCCGATCGACAAACCAGACACCCTTCACTCTTTCTCACGGAATTGAGGCTATGTCTCCCACCGAAGCGACAATACCGGGTCTCCGCCGAACCCATCTCCCGAACAACGCCTGACTGAACAACAGCATGATCAAGGACTCGCTTGACTTCGCCGAAGAACACAGAGACCAGGCCCTCCTCCGGATCCAAAACTACCAACAGTTGGCAGCAAAGTACTACAACAAGAGAACGTTCAGCAGATCTTTCGCCAAAGGCGACCTCGTCCTACGCAAAGTGTTTGAAAACACTAGAGAAGTCAACGCAGGGAAGCTCGGCGCTAACGGGGAAGGCCCCTACATCATAACCATGATCGTCAAGCCGGGAGTCTACAGGCTAGCAGCGATGGACGGCACCGAAATCCTGAGGTCTTGGAACTCGATAAACCTCAAACGCTTCTACTACTGAGAACCGTGACAACACCACCGCCGACCCCGAAGAAACGAAAGACAGCCCCCCCACAGAAAAATCCAAAGGAAGAGAAAGCACCCCGCACAGGTGTAGAAAAAAAAAAAAAAAAGGTACGTAGGCAACCTTGTTCAAAAACACAAGGCTCAGTTGTAATTCTAATAAAAAACAAAAATTTCACTACTCCGCGTTCGGCAAGAACTAATACCAAAAAGCCGAGCAACGACCTCGCAAGCCACATTCCCCACGAACTTACACGGACTGATCATCCGCCCCTCGGCACTAAGACTAAAAACCTAAGTGCCGAGGAACCTCCTAAAAGCCGAGCGCCGACCTCGCAAAATACGTTCCCCACGAACAAAACGGACCAACCGTCCGCTCCTCGGCACTAAGCCTAAAAATCTAAGTGCCAAGGAACTTACAAAGGCCGAGCGCAGACCTCGCCAAACACGTTCCCCAAGAACAAACGAAGTAAAAAATGAACAAGCTCGGCCAACAACAAACTTTCGTTCAAGACGCATCAAAAGAAATAAAACGAGAATTTCCATTAAGTATAAAGGATACGTTTACAAAGCATGAACATAAAAACAGTACAAAAGAAGAAGAAAGGAAAAGATCGGCACAACAGATCATCCACGATCGGCTCATCATCCGCTTTAATACTCGGACGGCACGAATTGACCCGAAGTACCAGCGTCCAGTTTGGCAGCCTCATCCGCCAGAGGTCCGAACTCCGACTCGAGCTTGTTCGCCGTCACCACCTCCTCCTGACCGATCTCCGCCTCAACTTGCTCCACATCAACCGGCACTTCTCGACCCAGTCAGAAGGAACGGCAACACCGGCTCTCATAAGTGTCTCGTAAGAGTCACGAACGGCAACCGCCTGATTCAGAGTCAAAACGCGAGGAATCACCCGGTCCTGATCGGCAAGGAAGGTTTTAACCTTCTTCAAACGAGGCCAGAAGATATCGACCGTCTCCCTCTTCGCCTGACGAACCTCCAAAGCGACTCAGTCCTCTTGGCTTCATCCGCCGATCGCCTTTCAAGCTTGGCAATCTTCGACTTCAGCCTCTCATTCTCAGCACCACGAGAGTCGGCATCCAAACGAGCCAAGGCAAGATCGGCTTCACTCCGCTCAAGGCCACTCTCCTTAAGAGCAAGAATGCCCTTGAGCTCGGCGACCTGGGACTCCGGCTCGGCGTTCCTCTCCTTCACCTCAACCAAGTCTGCACGACCCTTTGCCGATCTAGCAGACATCTCCCGGCGGTAGTAATCGATCAAAGCATTGTTACTTGCGACCGATTGGAAGGTATGACGGGCCATCTGCCGGAAAAGACGCTTCTCCTCTAATGACACTAGAGGAGACGGTTCCGAAATACAGTCCGGCTGGAGACTGTAATACAGATCGCCTAGGCCGACGTTGCTGCCCAAGAAACGATGACAGCCTTCATAGTGAAAGTCGAAGACTTCCATAGCCCCCTCAGGCTTTACATCCACGTCAGCGTCAAGATCGGCGGCTCCGCCAGCCTCTTTGCCTGTATCGGCGCCCACTTCCTCTCCCTCGACTGCCCCCGTCTCGGCCATCTCCCCATACTCGGCAGAGGATGTCCGCCTCCTCTTCCTCAGACCACCCGAGGACCCCGGCACGTCGATCTCGCCGCCGAGCTCGGTGAAAGGGAAGACAGGCGTTTCCTGCGAAGAGATAGGAGGATCGTCCCGCAGCTCCTCTTCGGAAAACGGTTCGCTGGTGGGAGTGATGGGTTCCCTCAGACCCGTCTCCGGATCTACCCGAGTGAAACCCGGATGTTCGGCATACCAAGGGTCTGCCCGCTCGGCGGCCACGCGATCGCCGATCGTCACCACGGTCTTAGATGAAGACCCGGATGCCGTTTTCTCCTTCTTCCTCTCCGCGTGCTTCCCGGCTGAGGCGCTCTTCTTCCTCTTCTTCCCCACCACTTTCTTACCATCGGCCGTCACCTCTTCTACCGGGCCCGGCACCTCTTGCCTGTAGCGAGGCAAATTCAAAGTAAGCTTCCCCATTGGCTTCTGTTTCTTCAAACGCCAAGAAGCTGAGAGAACAAGGCAGATCAGCATCTCGGAAACAGATCGGCAACTACAAACGACATATGTTTACCTGACGCGATGCGAGGCCACTGAGCTTTGATCCGCGTCTCGGCGATATCCTCCCACTTCCTCTTCCCGTACTCGGAAAGCCGACGAACGTCCTCGTAAAAGTTAGCTGGAGGGTTAAGCCAGAAAGGAGGCCGAACTGAAAAGGAAAGAGAAGAAAAAAGAAAATGATTATTGCCAAAAAATTGGATCGATCGGCAAGCAAAGAAAACAAAAACAAATATACTAAGGCATCCTATAAGGTTTTGGCCGAGCTATCTACCAAAGATCGGACTCCACTCGTTCCGGTATCGCCTGTCCAGGTCGGGAACAGAGGCTTCGTTCACGCGAATGAAGAAATACTCGTTGATCCAGTTCCTCGTCTTGCTAGGATGACCAGTTATCATCCCATACTTCGGGTTTATACTGACATACATGGTCCCGGGAGTGCTCTGGTTGACAGCAATGGACGACATCGACTCGTAAAAGTCCAGATTGAGTTCCATCCCCAGTTCGGCAGCCAGAACCACCGTGCCCGTGATATTGCGAACACCCGCCGGACAAAGTTGAGAAAAAGCGATCCGAACATCCTCACAGTACGTGACGAACAGCTTCGGAAGCGGGAAGAACATATGCGACTCCTTGAACCAAAATTTATAGGCTATAAACCAGCCCGGCGGCGCTCTCCACATACGCTCGTCATCTTCAGGAAGGTGCATTTCCAGACCAGACACGCTGGCGTGATCACGACGAACCATCAAAAGATCGTCGATCGTACCCTAGATTCCTCAGATCCGTCGGCTTCCTCTTCACCTTTGGCTGTTTCGGCTCAGCCTCGAGTTCCCCCTGACCGCCGGGATTGGCCTTTTCTCTCTGCCGAACCGCAGCCCTTTCAGCAGCCCTTTTCCCCTTGGCTATCGAAGCCTCCCTCTCCTTGGCGATCGCGTCTTTCTTCTCTTTGGTGATCTCGGCTTCCTTCTTCTTCCTGGCGACCTCGGCTGCCTCCTCGTTTTGAACAGACATTTTCCTCTTCCCCTCTGCAATCTCAGCCGCCCTCTTCCTCTCGGCGATCCCAGCCTTCCTGGATGCTGCCTCCTCATAGTCATGTGTAGAACCTATTAATCCATGTTTGGGTAAGTATGGGTCCATCTAGTTCATCTTATACACTACAAGTGAGTTTCCACAATTGGAGTCACAGAGGTACATTTCGGACTCCTTACCTCTTCCGGTTCCCAAATTAGGTCCATTTGATGTTCCTCCCTTGGATTGAGACCGTTTCACTCATGTTTGTCCTCATAGTCATGTGTAGAACCTATTAATCCATGTTTGGGTAAGTATGGGTCCATCTAGTTCATCTTATACACTACAAGTGAGTTTCCACAATGTGGAGTCACAGAGGTACATTTCGGACTCCTTACCTCTTCCGGTTCCCAAATTAGGTCCATTTGATGTTCCTCCCTTGGATTGAGACCGTTTCACTCATGTTTGTCCTCATAGTCATGTGTAGAACCTATTAATCCATGTTTGGGTAAGTATGGGTCCATCTAGTTCATCTTATACACTACAAGTGAGTTTCCACAATGTGGAGTCACAGAGGTACATTTCGGACTCCTTACCTCTTCCGGTTCCCAAATTAGGTCCATTTGATGTTCCTCCCTTGGATTGAGACCGTTTCACTCATGTTTGTCCTCATAGTCATGTGTAGAACCTATTAATCCATGTTTGGGTAAGTATGGGTCCATCTAGTTCATCTTATACACTACAAGTGAGTTTCCACAATGTGGAGTCACAGAGGTACATTTCGGACTCCTTACCTCTTCCGGTTCCCAAATTAGGTCCATTTGATGTTCCTCCCTTGGATTGAGACCGTTTCACTCATGTTTGTCCTCATAGTCATGTGTAGAACCTATTAATCCATGTTTGGGTAAGTATGGGTCCATCTAGTTCATCTTATACACTACAAGTGAGTTTCCACAATGTGGAGTCACAGAGGTACATTTCGGACTCCTTACCTCTTCCGGTTCCCAAATTAGGTCCATTTGATGTTCCTCCCTTGGATTGAGACCGTTTCACTCATGTTTGTCCTCATAGTCATGTGTAGAACCTATTAATCCATGTTTGGGTAAGTATGGGTCCATCTAGTTCATCTTATACACTACAAGTGAGTTTCCACAATGTGGAGTCACAGAGGTACATTTCGGACTCCTTACCTCTTCCGGTTCCCAAATTAGGTCCATTTGATGTTCCTCCCTTGGATTGAGACCGTTTCACTCATGTTTGTCCTCATAGTCATGTGTAGAACCTATTAATCCATGTTTGGGTAAGTATGGGTCCATCTAGTTCATCTTATACACTACAAGTGAGTTTCCACAATGTGGAGTCACAGAGGTACATTTCGGACTCCTTACCTCTTCCGGTTCCCAAATTAGGTCCATTTGATGTTCCTCCCTTGGATTGAGACCGTTTCACTCATGTTTGTCCTCATAGTCATGTGTAGAACCTATTAATCCATGTTTGGGTAAGTATGGGTCCATCTAGTTCATCTTATACACTACAAGTGAGTTTCCACAATGTGGAGTCACAGAGGTACATTTCGGACTCCTTACCTCTTCCGGTTCCCAAATTAGGTCCATTTGATGTTCCTCCCTTGGATTGAGACCGTTTCACTCATGTTTGTCCTCATAGTCATGTGTAGAACCTATTAATCCATGTTTGGGTAAGTATGGGTCCATCTAGTTCATCTTATACACTACAAGTGAGTTTCCACAATGTGGAGTCACAGAGGTACATTTCGGACTCCTTACCTCTTCCGGTTCCCAAATTAGGTCCATTTGATGTTCCTCCCTTGGATTGAGACCGTTTCACTCATGTTTGTCCTCATAGTCATGTGTAGAACCTATTAATCCATGTTTGGGTAAGTATGGGTCCATCTAGTTCATCTTATACACTACAAGTGAGTTTCCACAATGTGGAGTCACAGAGGTACATTTCGGACTCCTTACCTCTTCCGGTTCCCAAATTAGGTCCATTTGATGTTCCTCCCTTGGATTGAGACCGTTTCACTCATGTTTGTCCTCATAGTCATGTGTAGAACCTATTAATCCATGTTTGGGTAAGTATGGGTCCATCTAGTTCATCTTATACACTACAAGTGAGTTTCCACAATGTGGAGTCACAGAGGTACATTTCGGACTCCTTACCTCTTCCGGTTCCCAAATTAGGTCCATTTGATGTTCCTCCCTTGGATTGAGACCGTTTCACTCATGTTTGTCCTCATAGTCATGTGTAGAACCTATTAATCCATGTTTGGGTAAGTATGGGTCCATCTAGTTCATCTTATACACTACAAGTGAGTTTCCACAATGTGGAGTCACAGAGGTACATTTCGGACTCCTTACCTCTTCCGGTTCCCAAATTAGGTCCATTTGATGTTCCTCCCTTGGATTGAGACCGTTTCACTCATGTTTGTCCTCATAGTCATGTGTAGAACCTATTAATCCATGTTTGGGTAAGTATGGGTCCATCTAGTTCATCTTATACACTACAAGTGAGTTTCCACAATGTGGAGTCACAGAGGTACATTTCGGACTCCTTACCTCTTCCGGTTCCCAAATTAGGTCCATTTGATGTTCCTCCCTTGGATTGAGACCGTTTCACTCATGTTTGTCCTCATAGTCATGTGTAGAACCTATTAATCCATGTTTGGGTAAGTATGGGTCCATCTAGTTCATCTTATACACTACAAGTGAGTTTCCACAATGTGGAGTCACAGAGGTACATTTCGGACTCCTTACCTCTTCCGGTTCCCAAATTAGGTCCATTTGATGTTCCTCCCTTGGATTGAGACCGTTTCACTCATGTTTGTCCTCATAGTCATGTGTAGAACCTATTAATCCATGTTTGGGTAAGTATGGGTCCATCTAGTTCATCTTATACACTACAAGTGAGTTTCCACAATGTGGAGTCACAGAGGTACATTTCGGACTCCTTACCTCTTCCGGTTCCCAAATTAGGTCCATTTGATGTTCCTCCCTTGGATTGAGACCGTTTCACTCATGTTTGTCCTCATAGTCATGTGTAGAACCTATTAATCCATGTTTGGGTAAGTATGGGTCCATCTAGTTCATCTTATACACTACAAGTGAGTTTCCACAATGTGGAGTCACAGAGGTACATTTCGGACTCCTTACCTCTTCCGGTTCCCAAATTAGGTCCATTTGATGTTCCTCCCTTGGATTGAGACCGTTTCACTCATGTTTGTCCTCATAGTCATGTGTAGAACCTATTAATCCATGTTTGGGTAAGTATGGGTCCATCTAGTTCATCTTATACACTACAAGTGAGTTTCCACAATGTGGAGTCACAGAGGTACATTTCGGACTCCTTACCTCTTCCGGTTCCCAAATTAGGTCCATTTGATGTTCCTCCCTTGATTGAGACCGTTTCACTCATGTTTGTCCTCATAGTCATGTGTAGAACCTATTAATCCATGGGTAAGTAGTAAGGTCCATCTAGTTCATCTTATACACAAAGTGAGTTTCCTCAATGGAGATTGAGCGCAGAGGTACATTTCGGACTCCTTACACTCTTCCCAAATTTGGTCCATTTGATGTTCCTCCCTTGGATTGAGACCGTTTCATCATGTTTGTCCTCATAGTCATGTGTAGAACTATTAATCCATGTTCTGGGTAAGTATGGGTCCATCTAGTTCATCTTATACACTACAAGTGATTTCCACAATGTGGAGTCACAGAGGTACATTTCGGACTCCTTACCTCTTCCGTTCCCAAATTTGGTCCATTTGATGTTCCTCCCTTGGATTGAGACCGTTTCATCATGTTTGTCCTCATAGTCATGTGTAGAACCTATTAATCCATGTTTGGTAAGTATGGGTCATCTAGTTCATCTTATACACTACAAGTGAGTTTCCACAATGTGGAGTCACAGAGGTACATTTCGGACTCCTTACAACTTCCGATTCCCAAATTAGGTTCATTTGATAAGTATGGGTCATCTAGTTCATCTTATACTACAAGTGAGTTTCCACAATCTGAGGCACGTACATTTCGGACTCCTTACCTCTTCCGGTTCCCAAATTTGTCCATTTGATGTTCCTCCCTTGGATTAGACCGTTTCACTCATGTTTGTCCTCATAGTCATGTGTAGAACCTATTAATCCATGTTTGGATAAGTATGGGTCCATCTAGTTCATCTTATACACTACAAGTGAGTTTCCACAATGTGGAGTCACAGAGGTACATTTCGGACTCCTTACCTCTTCCGGTTCCCAATATTGCCATTTGATGTTCCTCCTTGGATTGAGACCGTTTCACTCATGTTTATCCTCATAGTCATGTGTAGAACCTATTAATCCATGTTTGGGTAAGTATGGGTCCATCTAGTTCATCTTATACACTACAAGTGAGTTTCCACAATGTGGAGTCACAGAGGTACATTTCGGACTCCTTACCTCTTCCGGTTCCCAAATTAGGTCCATTTGATGTTCCTCCCTTGGATTGAGACCGTTTCACTCATGTTTGTCCTCATAGTCATGTGTAGAACCTATTAAATCTTTTGGATAAGTATGGGTCCATCTAGTTCATCTTATACACTACAAGTGAGTTTCCACAATGTGGAGTCACAGAGGTACATTTCGGACTCCTTACCTCTTCTGGTTCCCAAATTAGGTCCATTTGATGTTCCTCCCTTGGATTGAGACCGTTTCACTCATGTTTGTCCTCATAGTAATGTGTAGAACCTATTAATCCATGTTTGGATAAGTATGGGTCCATCTAGTTCATCTTATACACTACAAGTGAGTTTCCACAATGTGAGTCACAGAGGTACATTTCGACTCCTACCTCTTCCGGTTCCCAAATTAGGTCCATTTGATGTTCCTCCCTTGGATTGAGACCGTTTCACTCATGTTTGTCCTCATAGTCATGTGTAGAACCTATTAATCCATGTTTGGCTAAGTATGGGTCCATCTAGTTCATCTTATACACTACAAGTGAGTTTCCACAATGTGGAGTCACAGAGGTACATTTCGGACTCCTTACCTCTTCCGGTTCCCAAATTAGGTCCATTTGATGTCCTCCTTGGATTGAGACCGTTTCACTCATTTTGTCCTCATAGTCATGTAGAACCTATTAATCCATGTTTGTGTAACTATGGGTCCATCAGTTCATCTTATACACTACAAGTGAGTTTCCACAATGTGGAGTCACAGAGGTACATTTCGGACTCCTACCTCTTCCGGTTCCCAAATTAGGTCCATTTGATGTTCCTCCCTTGATTGAGACCGTTTCACTCATGTTTGTCCATAGTCATGTGTAGAACCTATTAATACCATGTTTAGGTAAGTATGGGTCCATCTAGTTCACTTATACACTACAAGAGTTTCCACAATGTGGACACAGAGGTACATTCGGACTCCTACCTCTTCCGGTTCCCAAATTTGGTCCATTTGATGTTCCTCCCTTGGATTGAGACCGTTTCACTCATGTTTGTCCTCATAGTCATGTGGAGAACTTAATCCATGTTTGGATAAGTATGGGTCCATTGTTCATAGTTTTTCTTTCCATTTATGGATTCATTTGCTTCTTCTTGCACGTTATAGTTTTCCCAATTTGGCAAGCTCGAAGGTAGCTTCGTCAATATTAATTTTTTCTTTTCTTTTCATTTTCTGTAGCCATATGTTTATTTTCCCGAGAAATTTTTATCCACACCCAGATCTTTAAAAATCTCAACTCTGAGTCTCTCTGATACTTACAAACCACTCATGCTTTTGTTCCACCAAATCTGGAATTAACCAAATATATTTACTTTCCCTCTTCTGCAAAATTTCATAGCTTCACAAAAAAATATATTCCCTTTATTGACTCACCACCCAGATCTTGCCTAGATTTTTACTCTGGATTTTCTCAAATTCCTCTCCAAAAGGTTGAAACTTTCCCAGATTCCTTGAAGTGTGGGTCTAAGAAATGCTTCAAAGAAATTCGGATGAATTCTCTAATCAAGATAAAAATGAAGTATCATTTGACAGTGATTATTGTGTTCTTCCTTTGATTCTCTTATCTCTTCAATAATCCCAGTTTTTTTTCTCAATTTTGGGAACTCTGTCGGTATGATTTTTTCTTACAAATCGTAAAAGAAGAAAAAAAACAGAGCTAGTTTTTAGATTTTTTTTACGGACATGGAGATTCTGAGACCGACGACGTCGCACGTCTCCGGTGGGAACTGGCTCATGGAGGAGACGAAGAGCAACGTCCCCGTCGCCGCTTCCGGCGAGGTTGTCACGTGGACGGCGGCGGAGAACAAGGCTTTCGAGAATGCTCTGGCGGTTTACGACGACAACACTCCTGATCGGTGGCAGAAAGTAGCGGCGGTGATTCCGGGGAAGACCGTGAGTGACGTCATCAAACAGTACAACGAGCTGGAAGCTGACCTCAGCAGCATCGAGGCCGGTTTAATCCCGGTCCCTGGTTACATCACCTCACCTTTCACTCTGGATTGGGCCGGCGGTGACGGCGGCGGATGTAACGGGTTTAAACCGGGTCACCCGGTCGGTAATAAACGCTCGTCGTCGGCAGGTAGGTCGCCGGAGCTGGAGCGGAAGAAAGGTGTTCCTTGGACGGAAGAAGAACACAAGTAAGTCTCTGTTCTTTTTCCGGTTTATTGGGAATTGAAATCAAACAGGAATAAAAAGGATTTTCTAGCGCAATGGTAAATAATTAGGTAAAAAATAAGAAAATCAATCTTATTATCAAGAATTTGTGAGAGAGGTGAATTTTTCATAAATTTTGGTCACTAATCATTCAAAATCGTAAAATAGTTGAACATAAATCGTGAAATTATTTGAAAGAGATCCAACATTTACATCACTAGTTTATAAAAGCGACAAGTGGATATTATTGTGTAATACTCCTTCCGTTTCTTTTTACTTGTTGTTTTTGGAGATTTCACGCAGATTAATAAAACAGATTAAAATTTTTATTATATCCTTAAAAAGCAAATTGACTATTAATATTCTTCATTAGATCAAGATTAAACTAGGTATTTAATATTAAATTTTGTATTGGAAAGTGAAAACGACAACTATTTTGAATAAAAAAAATAAGGCTAGAATGACAAGTATTTTGAAACGGAGGAGTATATAACTTTATGAAAATATCTTTGATTCGATATTTGTCTATTCCTAATGGTTTTGAAGAAATACATGCATAATCGTAGTTTGGTTTAACATACGTTGCTATTATTCAATTATGAAACCTAACTTTGAAAATATATTACTTGGATAAAGTTTCAATATCTACATTTTGATATTATTTTATATTGTAATGTATAAAATTTTATGAAAATACATCTTTGATTCAATATCAGGCTATTTCTGATGGGTTTGAAGAAATACGGCAAAGGAGATTGGAGGAACATATCTCGAAACTTTGTGATAACGCGAACCCCAACGCAAGTCGCTAGTCACGCCCAAAAATACTTTATCCGGCAGCATTCCGGCGGCAAGGACAAGAGACGAGCAAGCATTCACGACATAACCACCGTGAATCTCGAAGACGAAGCTTCTTTGGAGACCAACAAGAGCTCCATCGTTGGACGAGAGGAGCGTTCGAGGCTAACTGCGTTTCCTTGGAGCCATACGGACAACAACGGAACGCATGCGGACGCCTTCAACATAACGATTGGAAACGCTATTAGTGGCGTTCACTCGTACGGCCAGGCTCTGCTAGGACCGTTTAACAACGCAGATTCTTGCTACGACGCACCAAACACAATGTTTCAGCTATAGCAGCGAATGGTGGTGATCTCTAATTTAAGGGTGTAAGTGAAATTCTTAATTTTTTTCCCATGGACTAAACAATCGTATTTGATAATTGTGAAATAAACGTCCATTGTTTTTAATCCCAAATTGAAATACAAAAGTTAATAAAAGTATTAGTGCCTAGTTTTTGAGTTAAACTGTTTAGTATATTCTTTTTTTTTTTCCTTGACATTATACGGATTTGAATATAGATGGTGAGACGATGGATGGCAATCAGCCCCTTCAAACAAATACAGCAACAGTATATTATACAAAAAATCAAGATGTAAATCCAATTGTGTATAAATTTTAGTTGTTGAAGAAATAATAAAATAAAAGTATATGTTATACAAGTTGCAGCGAAAAGGTTCAAAAAGACACAAACTTCTAGTGTCAAAATTTTGTCGTTTAACGTTTGAACAACGTATACATCACATATGGCATTATTCATTGTTCGTCTCAATCAACCAAAACTATGCTTTCAACAACCACTTGAAGTTATAACAACGGACAATGTTTGACACTAGAAGTTTGTGTCTATAGACAACGATGCAATTAATTTCCTACATTCTAGTCTATAGACACTAATATATAAAATGTTTCCCTTTTTTTTGCATAACCGAGGAATTCAGGAATTCTTCTATCCATAATCTTGTAAACTTTAAACCACCTTTTTAACCATAAAATTGGCGATAGTTTTCTAAATCTCTTGATAACCAAAGGGATGTTAAATCTTAGTCTATGTGTAACGATAGGACCGGACCGCCTTCTATTTTGGATAATATCTAGCAATAGCAGGCGATGGCAAATCTCAATAATCCTTATCTTTCTGTTTCTTAATTTGATGAAAGGTACATAAAATACTAAAAGGCTAAAACTGAAACTTGTAAAGAATGTAAACTTGACCAATACCAAGCCATCATACATAAAAACCAACATAAACAAAACTATAAAAACCCTAAAAACTAATTAAGCTGCCTCACTCAAATCGGTTCTTCCCTCAACTTCATCACCTCCAAGTATGGTTAAACGGACTAAATCCCGCAAATGGGTTAGCATTAAAAGCCGCAGTCCTCTGTGCAACCGGTTCAGGATTATAACAAGGTTGTGCTTGCCTCTGCATCAACTGAGTACCATCGTTTCCGTTTGGCATCATCAAGCCTTGAGTTAACCCGAAGTTGGTTAAATAATTCTCCTCAAGATTTGGGTCCATTTGATTCTGATCATCAGGAGATGGTAAAAGCGAGAAACCCATATTATGATAACCAGGGAGCATGCCTTGATGAATCTGTTGCTTCTGGTCAGCAAGATAATGTCTCATGTAATCTTGATCCATAAGCATCTGCGGGATTGGTGTCTCTATGGCTTGATGCTGATTCCTAATCATAGTACGTTTCTGTCTCATCAGAGCTTCATGTAACTTGTATTCCACGGCATAGAGAACCTGACGTAGCTGCTCTTGTGAGCACTTGTCTAGCTTCTCCTCCCAGCAACAATACTTAGTATTATTACTCTTCACTCTCTTCTTACAATCCTCCTTCTCTTTTGCCTTCCCCAAGTCGTTAACAAAAGTCTCAACTTGGGTTTCTTTCCCGCAGCCGTTCGACGCTAAGTCTTTGTACTTGCGTATGATTTCTCTGACTTTGGCCTCGTCCCTCGGCCATATCTCTGGCTCGGAAACCTTTGTATCGGTCGCCTTGGTGGGACCGTAGACGATGAGACATGTCTGGACGCCGCACAGTGTTGAGAACTCCTCTGCCTTCTTGTAAAGACAAGCTTTCCTCTTTTTGTAAGTTGTTATCCTTGTCTTATCATTCTCTATCCTTCGTAGGTCCACTACTTTCTTCTGAGCCATCCTTTGTAACCTGATTTATNTAGACCCAACCTAAATGCTGGCTCTGATTAACGATTATGTAGATCAGGACGGAAGTTAGGAGGATTAATTGTAATCGATTCAAAGACAGTGTCGCGAGAATAATGGGGAGATGGTGGTGATGAACCGAGAAAACCACCTTCGGAAAAAAGTGGTAATCGTGATGAGAAACGAATCGAATCACGAATCACAACGCCGGGGAATTAAAATTCCTTCCGCCGGCGTTGCTTCCCTTTCTATGGGCTTTGTAAGATTGGTGAGGTGTGTAACACCAATAAAAAAGACAAGACACAAAGACACTAAGAAAATAATATTTGACTTTAATTTTTTGATAAAGCTATATGAACACAGAACTTATTAAAATGTATAATTTTTTTTTACGTCATATATAATTTTTTTTTTAAGAATGTGAGTGTAATTATTAATTAACGAATAAAACAAATAAGTTAAAATAAATAGGATTGTCTTTTTTTAAAAATATTTCAATTATGAATTTGCTTTAATCTGACCATATACACAAAAATATAATTTATAATAAAAGATAATAGTATTAACAACAGTCTAAACACATCACAAATGATAATAGTTTAATTTTTAAAGTACAAATTTATTAAATAAATAATATGTGTCACACATAAATAATAGGTGTTTCACCTATAAATAATTATAAATAAAATATTTTTAACTAATTAGTTCAATAACAAACAAATCTTTCTATATTTTATCCTTTCAATGTTCATCCTATAACATATATGATTTAATATTAGATTTTTGAAATAATTATTTTTAATAAATTTATGAATTGTCAAATGTGTTTGGGAATTCTAGTTAGAGTAATCAAAATAGATAATACTGAAAATAAATATGCTTGACAATGAATATAGAAATAAATCAAAATTAATAAGGTAAGAAAAATTATAGAAGTGACAAATCAACAAAAATAGTTTCAATGTTTAGGTACGATATATCATAAAAATTTGTAGAAAACAAATTAGTTTCAGCGCGATTTTGTTAACTCTTTAGAACAATAATAACTATTTAGTATTATTATTATAATATTGCTAAATTTTTTATTCCCTTTGTTCTTTAATGAGTAGTATTTAAGAAGGTATTTTTTTTTTTTGGTCGTACACTGGGAAACAAAAGGTGTCTCCCAATAATTTATTAAAAAATAGAGTTCAATTACACACGGATTCTTCTTGGTCTTGTAGACCCAAGTTCATCCGTCTCAAACAAAGAAAATACATCTAAAGGAGCGGCCTCTAACGTATGAAACCCTCCCGGCAACGAAAAAGCTTAGTTCGCCAATCCATCTGCAAGACAACTGGCCTCCCTATACACATGAGAAATCCGGACTAACCAGCTCTTTGCAAGAAAGCCGTGGCACAAACATATCAGGAACGACAGTGGATGAGTCTCACTAATCCCTGTCCGAAGAAAACCCACTATCAACTCCGAGTCAACCTCCAGCTCCACCCGAGAACACCGCTTCTGAGCACTATTTTATTTCATAAATAGGTGGTGTTTACATATTTCAAAGAAAAAATTAATTATTTTTTGTTGTCTTACAGTTTGAATTCTACATACTGACAAATCTGAAAGTGAAGTATTTTGGGATTGATTTTAAAACATGTTTATTTTTTTTTAAATGATTTCTTATTTTAAAACAAACGAAGTATTATGTAAAGTAAATGATATGTATTGCAAATAAATTTGAAAAAAACATTATATAAAATGAGTTATTGCGCGATTTCGCGCGGGTTCAAGTCCTAGTTACTTTAGTGGAAAACTAATAAAGAACTACGTTTATAATTTATTTACCTATTTACCTATTATATGTAAATTTTATTGAAACAAAAAGTTTGGTCATTTTAACATATTATGATATATGTATGTTATAAAAATACAAAAGAAAAACATGAAAAAATAATCAATGATTATTATGGTCTACCATAAAAAAAATATATAAAGAGTTATATATTATTTTCTACAGTGTTCTGAGTGAAAATGTGATTTTAATGTTTAAGAATTTTACAGTCGAGACAAAATATTATAATCTAAAGAAAGTGAGAAGAAAAAAAGGTTAAACATGCTAAATTTTGGGAAGAAAAAAATGAAGATGAAATGTGGATTTAACATATCGACAATGTGAAAAATGTTTTGGTGAATAATATGTCCACCAATATTTAAAATATCTAACCAAATTAGGATATTATATTATTTAGTGTTAAAATAAAATACTTATGTGATCAAATCAGAAAACAATTAATAAAAACTTGATATAGGTTTAGTCCCGCGCAACGCGCAAGCTCATTTTCTACTATACATAAATAAGTACCCAAATATTCACAAGTTATTTATTTTTTATTTTAAAAAATACTGAAATAAATCAAGGAACAAAAACAAACAATATGCTTCTTATATATGTTCAACAAATTATAAAACAGAATTAGAAAATAAATATTTTATTTATTCAAAATAATATAAAAATGACATGTTAATCCATAATAATTTATATAAAACTACAATTTGCAGTAAATATTACCCCGTGCCTTAATGTGCGGGAGATCATCTAGTTTCACATTAAAGAATCAACAGATAATACTTACATGTATGCTCTTCTTGACCTAATCAAGACACTGTGCAAATCTCCTACGAAGATCATCATGGAAGACCTAATCAAAGCAGACAATACACTTTCGGATCTGATAAACGCTGGCTTAAACTTGGATTGGTTTCGTCAGAAGTTGGATCACGCTTTGGAAAAACAGATAGCTTACGACACACGGATTTGAGAACTCGAGAAGCAAGTCATGAAGCGAAAGCTGGCATTGGCAGAACTTGAAAGCGACCTAGACAAAGAGAAAGCCGCACCAACGGCTGCATTGATGTTGCTTGACTGAAATTATAGCAGAAGCTGTTGCTTCTTCTTAACTAATTAGGTCAAGAATTTGCTCTCCATTATAGGAAGTTAGTTAGGAATATGTTTTACTTTCACACTTTTTATTGAACTTTCTTTTCTTGAGAAACGAAACGAGAGCCTTATTATTATTATTATTATTATTATTATTATTATTATTATTATTATTATTATTATTATTATTATTATTATTATTATTATTATTATTATTATTATTATTATTATTATTATTATTATTATTATTATTTTTTGTCAACAGCCTATATCGGTTCCGAAAGCGCAACCGATGGAACAGAGTTTACATAATATAAATCATAAGGCAGATCTCGAGTACTTTGTGCTAACTTGTCCGCCTTCGTGTTTTTTTCCTTGGGATATGAGTTAAGGAAAACGCCTGAAACTTCCTCCTGCACTTCTTCACCTCTTCGAGGAGAATTTCGAACGCCACTCTTCAAGTTTAGATAGCATCTTCATCAAATCAGAACAGTCAGTTTGAAAATTCATTTGCCGTTTATTATGGACTATCATACTTTGCATAGCCAATACCAGTGTTTCCAGTTAGGTTTGTAACAGGGATAGACCCCACCGTAGGTTACTAGCCCCTACTAATGTTAACCCTGATCCCGAGTCGAAATATACCAACCCAGTCCCGCTCGACATTCTGTGTCCTTCCACGACCCATCTATTTAGCACCATGCGCCGGGTGGTGTAGAATTTAGATGAAGTTTTGTACTCACAGGCGCCATATCTGACAGCGTCTGAGCAAAAGCCTATGCACGGGCCTCTATTATCACTGAGTCCAGGACATCCCTCGGGTCCTTATCGTCATTCAATTTTTTTTTTTTTCGACCTTTCCAAATAACCATTGTAACCATTGATATATTAACATGTCGTCATCATCTGGAAGATTCCAGAAAAGATGTGCCATATTAGTAAACAAAGCTCCAATAGGAAAATGTTGGAGAGGTTAAAACGCTTATGTTAGAACTTTACACACTCTATTTTTTTTCTTTTTTTCGTGTGATAACCTCGAAGTAGCTCGGGCCGAAACCTTAATCTCCGTAGGCCCAGAGTCAGCCTTTAATGTATTCCCTTTGGGAATACCCCTCCTCCCAAGTGACTTGAACGACCTCTTGTTACCAGACCTCTTGTTGAGTTGAGGTTCTCTCTTGTTTATATTTTTAGCGGAATCAGTGTTACAAGTCGAAAGCTAATAAATTTTATCTATTGCATTTCGACTTCCGATATGGGATACAAATAAGACTCACATAAATCAACAACTTTTGAAGGTTTAGCACACATATAACTTTGACATAATCTATTATATAACAAGAGGCCAATTTTCTTCAGTACAATTTTATTGAAATGCCACATGGCACTCTCTCCGTCGTCAACAGGAGAGAGCTTCTTATGTAGAAATCTGTATTTTTTGACAGAAACCTAAGCGTTGAGGAAGAATGAATCGCCATTGCTGTTTTTGCAATTTTTTTTTTAATTTATTGAAAATGTCACATGGTGCTCTCTCCATCGTCAGCAGGAGAGAGTTGACCTGTTATGTAGACATATGTAATCATATTTTGTAGACGGAAATCTAAGCATTGAAGAAGAATGAATCGTCGATGAGAAGAGCCGTTGCTGTTTTTGCAAACTTTTTTTTTTAATTTATTGAAAATGCCACATGACACTCTCTCCACTGCTGACTTGTCAGTCTGCTGGAGAGAGTTAACCTCTTATTACATAATAGATATGATCAACACAACACAACACAACCGAACAAAACACAAACAGTACGGGGTAATCTGTATACGTTATACAACTACAGCTTGCGAATGAGAAGTGGAGCACCAAACTGTGGATGAAGGGTGAAGATTAATTCAGGCGCATGAACATAGGAAGGAGAGAGCTCGAAGGAGAATCTCTGTAGAATCAAAGTCATAGCCATCTTTGCCTCCAACATAGCAAAGTTTTGTCCGACGCATATCCTCGGGCCCCCTCCAAAGGGAAAGAAGGAGAGTTGGGTCTTTGCTGCCTTAGAGACACCGTCTTTGAATCTCTCAGGCTTAAATTCTGCTGCATCTTCGCCCCAAATATCCGGGTCACGGTGGACTAGCAGAATAGGTAGATGGATCTCAATGCCAGCTGGTAGTGTCAGATCGCCTAGCTTCATCTCTTTGTGAGTGGCTCGGGTCAGCTGGATTACAGAAGGATATAGCCTAAGGACCTCATATTGTATCATAGTCATCTGTGAGGGGATCAAATCATTCAGCAATAATCATTAAAATAAAACAGGACTCATGTCATTTGGACGTTTATAATTCGATTTTTACTCACAACTTTGAGCTGGTTCAGGCCATTTAAATGAGGTTCTTTATCGCCAAAAACTTGCATCACTTCTTCTCGTGCGCGAGCTTGCCAGTCTTGGTGTTGGCTTAACAGCACCATTGTCCAGAGCATAAGTACTGAAGTTGTATCTTGCCCGGCGAAATAGAAAAACTTGCACTCCTCCAACACTTCCTCAGTGCTCATTTTGTGTCCTTTTGCTTGCCCCATATTCGATTCAAGAAGTATATCCAGCAGATCATTGCTTGGTGCTTCCCCAGATTCTCTCGCCCTTAACCTTTTGTTAATGATGATCCCTCTCAGTATAGCTCTGATTTCTCTGTCTGCTGCTTTCATCCTTCTATTATTCTTCGTCGGGAGATAACTATGCGAAAAAAGATCAAGTGTCAATGTCAAAATGTGGGGAGAATATCCAAGAACATGGTTTATAATCTCAGGTAAGTAATCAAGAGTCAATCTCTAAGCGTCTTGTATTAAACCAGACAAGTTGATGTTTTTCATTACTGATATCCAGGGATGAAAACTGTCTTAAAAGCTTGTACGATGAGGTCCAATATTTCTGTTTGGAGCTCAAATACCCTCCGCCCTTCTTTGTAGCTGCTGCCAAAAGCAGTACGAGAGATCACTTCTGCCGTTATACTCACTAGCCAAGGCCAAACGTCCACTTCACGGGACGATCCTTTATCCGGGACTAACTTGTCCCATTCACCAACAACCTCGCTACAACTTTGGTGGAATATAGGTACAATATTCTATACATACAAGTAGAAGGCACGAATTGGGTCAGATCAAAATGAACATACATACATACATACATACATACATAAAGCAATGTAATTTGTTTCCAGGGTTATGAAATAAGAAGCCTAAACCTTAATCTTCTCAAGGTGGAAAGCCGGGTTGATGATTCTTCTGTGTTTTGCCCATTTGTCACCTTCATAACTAAAGACTCCAGTGGCTATGAATTTGGCCAAAGGGAATGAATGCGGCTTTTGGAAATCATAATTTGTGTGGAACACTTCCTTGATTTTCTCAGGATCCATTAACGTGATGACTGGTGTAGTTCCAAGCCATGAAAAGAAAGTCTTTCCTGTTCAAACCACCAAACATATACAAAAGTTGATTATGTTTAAGTTAACACAGATAAATGAAGAGGTATATAAGCTAAACATACTGTGAGTCTTCAGCATTTGCATGTGAAAAGGCCAGAGACGTTCTCGGATATCATCTGTTACTTTGATTGGTTTAGATCTTGCCTCCTTCATCATGTTGGAACTCTTCAACACATCGCCGACGAGAGGCGTGTAAGGCGTTCCCGCAAGACCCTGTCTTCTCAGGCAACTCTCAAGCATTTTTGGTTTAAACCAAATCCAATTCAAAGCTCTCCATACCCACCACGACACAAGAGCTATAGCTATTGATATTGTAACCGATGCAAGTGATATCTCCATTTTGTCTCCCAGAAAAGAGAGAGAGAGGGAGACAGAGAGTTGGATAAACTGCTAACTTTTGACAATGTCGTAGAAGATATTGGTGTGCATGGTAATGAAAAATAAAGTTAGCAGATTACATTGATATATATATAATGTTTTTTTTCCCTTGGAATTTAAGGGGAAGTACCCATTGAGAGGGATGCTCTTAAATACCCCATCTGTATTTTTTGTGTCGGCAATTATTTTGTTTGAGCATTGATCTTGTGCTTAAATTGGAGCCTCACAGTCACATATGCCACCAAGGGCATTTTGGGTTTGTGTGGACTGAAACGCTACAAAGAGTGGAAAAAACATTCATTATGCATGCATGAAGATAATAAGATAATAAATTTGGTAGTTGTGGTCAGACTCTATTATGGATTTCTTACCACAAGAATGCTCTTCGTAAGAAGCCTCAGCTCCACGAGTGAGACAAAACTAGCAAAGATTGGAGAAAAAATGACGCTTTCAAACTCGTACCAAGTGATGATGACAAGTTTCTCAAGATTTCAGTCTATAACCTTTGATAACCACGAGAGGAGAGGATCAGTCTCATCGTAAGAGTTAACAGAATTTAGATGGAAACTGCTGATTTCCGGACTTTCAATGTCACGAATCACACGGTCAACGAATTGTACGGCTGTACAAATCCATAATCTCTCAGTTCCTTATGACTTACATATTCAAAGTGTAAGGCTGTGACGTTGGTCCACATTTTCATCCATGCCTTTGATAACACATAAGTCCTAACAGCTTCCACAGTTGAGAAGGCTCTTAGGGAAATCGCTAAAGTTATCATTAAGGCTCTCATGCATTGATTATATTTCCCTGATACAGCCGAAAACAGAAAAATCAAAGAGAAGTGCAAAAAAAAAGAACGTTAATTCATAGTGAAAAGAAATAGAAATATAGGTGAAACCAATGTAAAAGCAAAGAAAATATTCAAGGAATCAAGCAAAGATTAGAGAACAACGTAAGGAGTCTTTAAACCGGCATGAACTTGTCTCATTCTTTCCACAGCTCTGTCTGAAGATTCCATCTGCTTCGACTGATCTTGGTGTTTCCTCTTCCGTTTCTCTTCCTTCCTCTTCCCAGGTTTCTTCCCATGGAATCCGTGACACAGTAACCGAAACGCATCTTTCTCAGTCAACATCCCTGCCATGCTCATCCACTCTCTCAATCCGAATGTCCTTAAAAGCATCTCTGAATCTGTCATCTCCATAATTGTCCGTAACACCTCCTACAACAAGCTTGCCTTTCTTCTCCTTGAAAGTTCCTTGCTCTCTGAGACGCTTTAATGCGCCTGATAAACCTGTACCAACCTCAACCTCACGCATCACTCCAATCTCTAACATCATCAATTGCCTCATCTTCATCAATGGAACAAACCTTGTGAAACACGTCTCTTCGTCTCTCTGATGATTCAATTTTGCTTTGATCCTCATCTCTTGAAGAACCGAGATCATGGTCAGCTTCCACCGACCTTGAAGCAAGACCTTCGTTTTTTGGAGCGATATTTACTACCAATTTCTTGTTCTTCCTCATCTGAATTCTTCTTCATAGCAATATTGAGCTGAGACATTCTTATGGAAATCCCCGCTGATGAGATCGAGAACCCCAAAAAATTGTGAAATAAGAATGACAACTCCAAACGCTGAAAATTCCATATATATAAGAGAGATCTAGGTCATAACGAAACTAACTGATTTAGAATCCAAACAAGAATATGAAAATTATATGAGAGGAAAAAAGAAGAAGGCAATCTCCAAATTCCACGTGTCACGTGAATTCGGCGACAACTGCAACATTCAGCGATTTCAAACGGCAATCATGTTTGTAAGAATTTCCAGGGATTATCATCTTATGATAGTAGAAAAATGGGAATGGATCCTTCTTCGGTAGTCCTCTGGAGAGTAGTAGCTATCACTATGAGTCTGAGTTATAGTTCTATATACTAGTTTGGATATGATTGGAAAAATTGCTTGGAAATAGTAAATTTAATTATATGTGTCTAAAAATCTTGGAACAAATTTATTTGACAAACATCAAAAGGGTTTACGGAGTTAGATCTTGTGGAGGATAAGATGAGCACCAAATTGTGGGTGAGTGGTCATGACTGAGTACGGCGCATGAACATAGGAAGGAGAGAGCTCCAAGGAGAATCTCTGTAGAATCAATGCCATAGCCATCTTTGCCTCCAACATAGCAAAGTTCTGTCCAATGCAGATCCTTGGTCCCCATGCAAAGGGAAAGAAAGAGAGTTGGCTCTTTGTTGCCTTTGAGATACCGTCTTTGAATCTCTCAGGCTTGAATTCCGCTGCATCGTTTCCCCACAGCTCTGTGTCGAGTTGGAGTAGTAGAATAGGTAGACTTATCTGAACGCCGCCCGGTAGTGTCAGGTCGCCTAGCTTCATCTCTTTGTGAATGGCTCTGGTCAGCTGTGCCACTGGAGGATATAGCCTAAGGACCTCATTGAGTATCATCGTCATCTGCGAGGGATTCAATATTTTTCAGCAGAACATAAGGTAAGGACTTAACACTACAAGAATATTGAGTTTTAATAGCACAATAATATAGCGTTTTTGGTAAAAGTGCTATAGTTATTATACCTCTATGTTTTAGATAGCGCTTCTATTTTTGTAAACGCTATCATAACTGTTGGTTAAAAAATAAAATTATGCGTATCATTTATAAATTAAAAGGTCATTTTTAATAGCATTGCAAACGTTATAATAGTGTTGAGAGGAAAACCAAATTTTCGTTCCCCGGCACTTCGAAAAAAATAAGGTTTCAAAATGGGCTCCAAAATAGAAAATCCCCAATTACTCAGACCTAAAATTTCATGTTCTTCCCCTTTACCTCTCCTTTCCTCTCGATTCTCACAGTCTCCACCGAATCCAATTACTCGTCTACTGCGGACCGGAGTCAGTTCTATTATCCGGATCCTCCCGCCTCTCCTTCGTCTCAGGGATTTCTCCTCGGAATGCTCACGACGGATTCTAGCTATCGACAGAAGATCCCAAACCTACGCAGACTGGTCCATCCAAGTCCACCACCGTAAACAGATCCTCTTCATCGTCTCAGAAGGAGTCAACAACAATGTCTCGACCCAAGTGTAGCTGCCGCCACCGATCCAAAACGGACTGGTCCACCCAATTCCACCACCGTAAACGGATCCTCTTCATGTCGGAAATTGACAGCGAAGGTAAAATTTCTTTTTAAGCTTTTGGTCAAGACACTTAAAATTGGCAGTGTGTTAGATTCAATTTAGGTTTTTGAACTTAAGGTTTTGGATAATTGTTTCTCTTAGTTCAATCGATTTTTTGTTTTCATGGTCTTTTGTATTTGTGTAATTGATATCTATTGGTTTGTTTTTTGCATGTTGGATCTCACACATACAAAAACTACAAGGTATATACGGATTCTGTAGTTGTTCCAATCGTATATATGTTCATTTTTAACATAGTAGTTTGTTTGCTTTTAAATTTCTCTGATGGTTCCTCCACAACTAGCTTCATTCGTCACTACATTGGGTTTGATTTCCTTTTAAGCGACTTGAGATTTGTTTTTGTTTTTTATGTTTCTCTCATTCATACACCTCTCATTGAGTCTGTTATGGTCTTTTTGGCTTTGGATGCAGCAATAAATATTACATAAGAACTTTTGAGCTTGATGGCAAACGCATAAAGCTCCAAAACTGGGATGCGGCTGGTCATGACTCATGAATGGTTTCGAACCATCACCACTGGTGAGTGAGACCCTTAAATTTTTCTTTTGAGTTGTTTGTTTTATAAGTGTATACTTAGCCCATATTGACCTCTGCAATGACTCTACTTTTGATTTGTTAAAAAGGATTAAGAGTCACTGTATTTGACGCTCGGATCTCTTGGGAACAAGCCGAATAACACATTTCTAGTGTGTGCAATCAACTTTAATGTAATGGCTAATGATTCAGTTCTAATGCTTATTTCTGGTCTCATTTCGTATCATAATTGAAGTTTTGTGTTTGGTTCTATCTTGGTTGTCTTATTGCTTAACGAAACCATATTGTTTTCTTTGCTTGTTGTTTAAGAATTTTCCAGCAGTTCAAGTTTATGTCTTTGTTCGAGTTATAAGTGCTTCTCCTATTCTTTTGGTATTCAGGTTTGAAATTTTTTGTGTTGTTGAATATCCTAAGTTTGGTTTATGGAATAATATATAGTTTTGTTTCCTTTACTCTTTAAGCTATTGCAGTTTTTTGGTTTTGATTATGATAAGATATTGTCTTCTCCTAGCAGATCAGATGAGTTTAATTAAGTTTTTTCTTCAGGTGGAAGGGAGGTAACCACTCACTGCCTATGAGCAGATATATGGTGTTAAGATGCTAGATTGCACCGTAAAGCTGCCAAAACAGTTGTTCGGCGAAGGTGGAGGAGCCTTGGTGATTGAGGTGGCTCAGCTATGAGGTGGTAGAGATCTGCTGAGATAATTCTGAAAACTTAGACTAGAAATTAGAGTAGATTAGAAATCAGTAAATATGAAGAAAAACAAATTATTGTAAAATATTTTTTATATTATTAGTTTATTTATTGTTCTTGTAAATTAAATTATTAGTTTGAAGTTTTTAGAAATCGAAATTTAAATTCTAAAAATTAAAATTTAAAATTCAAAACTAAAACCCAAATTATTACAAATAATATTATTAATAGCATTTAGTAACAGCTATAGTATATTATATTATAGCATTGAAAATAACGCTATGTAATGTAAATAAATAATAGCATCTCAAAAAAGCGCTATCTAAAGTGTTTGAGCTATTATCGCGGGATCTGATACAACGCTTCTAATAACGCTATGATATCTTCAGATAGCGTTTTACAGACGCTAAGAAAGCCCTTTTTTCCTGTAGTGTAAGTCAACTTAAAGGTTGTTTTACTTACAACTTTGAGCTGGTTGAGGCCATCTGTATCAGGTTCTCTATCGCCAAAAACTTGCTTCACTTCGTCTCTTGCTCTGGTTTGCCAGTCTTGGTGCTGGCTTAACAGAACCATTGTCCAGTTCAGAAGCACTGAAGTTGTCTCTTGCCCGGCAAAATAAAACAACTTGCACTCCTCCATCACATCCTCAATGCTCATTCCGTGTCCTTTAGCTTGCTCCAAATTCGATTCAAGAAGTGTACCAAGTAAATCATCGCTTGGTGCTTCCCCAGCTTCCCTCGCCTCTAACCTTTTGGTAATGATCCCTCTCAGTATAACTTGGATTTCTCTGTCTGCTGCTCTCATCCTTCTATTATTTTTCGTTGGGAGATATCTACTCAAAAAAAGAACAAAGAATATGACAAGAGTGTCTCCTAATAGTTTGCAGTGCCAAAAGACCAAGAATCAAGCCAGGCAAGTTGAGATTCTATTATACCTATATCCAGGGATGAAAGCTCCCTGAAAAGATAGAATGATGAGCTGTGATAGTTCCGATTGGAGCTCAAATATCCTCTGCCCTTCTTTATAGCTGCTACCAAAAGCAGTACGAGAGATCACATCTGCCGTCATACCCACAAGCCCAGGCCAAACGTCCACTTCACGGGACGACCCTTTTTCCGACACTAACTTGTCCCATTCGCCAACAACCTCGCTGCAGCTTTGGTGGAACGCAGGCACCATATTCTATACATACAAGTAGAAGGGACAAATTGGGTCAGATCAAAACGAACATACATAGGTACCTAAAGCAACGTAACTTGTTTCCAGGGTTATGAAATAAGAAGCCTAAACCTTGATCTTCTCAAGGTGGAAAGCCGGGTTGATGATTCTTCTGTGTTTAGCCCATTATCACCGTCATAACTAAAGAGTCCAGTGGCTATGAATCTGGCCAAAGGGGACATATGTGGCTTTTGGAAATCATAAATTTTGTTGAACACTTCCTTGATTTGCTCAGGATCCATTATGTTGATGACTGGTGTAGGTCCACGCCACATAAAGAAAGTCCTTCCTGTTAAAACCACCAAAGAGATACAAAAGTTGAAACCTTAAGTCCAGATCGGGTACTCTGCAACATATAAGAATCAAGAAACATACCATAAGTCTTGAGCATGTGTGAATGGAAAGGCAAGACACGTGGGATGATATCATCTGTCAGATTGATGGGTTTGGATTTTGCCTCCATTGACATGCTGAAAATCCTCTTGAAATCGCCGACAAGAGGCGTGTAAGGTGTTCCGACAAGACCCTGTCTTCTCAGGTGACTCTCAAGCATCTTAGGCTTCAACCAAACCCACTTTAGAATTCTCCATAAGTACCACGATACAGCGGCTAGAGCTACTGAAACTATTATTGATCCAGCTGATGTTTCCATTTTCTTTCCGAGAGAAGAGATAGAGAGAGGGAGAAGAAGAGAGGCAAAGAGGAAGAAAGAGATGTGTGTGGTAATAAGCCTCTAAGTAATAACATTTTAGGGATATATATATATATGATTGAGAATTATTTGCCGTGTCAGACAATTAGTTTGTTGTGACCGTTGATCTTATGCTATACTTGGGGCATCACAGTGAAAATATGGATTTTTGTGTGAAGTTTGGCCATAACTTGCTTAGGGAGGAAAAGGGCGTTGACCTTTTGACATTTCTTTGTCCCGTAGCTCTACGTATGGCTGCTTTGACAAGTATATTTGACTGTATTTTTCGTTTCTTGTTTCTTTAAAAAAACTGCTGTACTCAAATTATTTGAATCCAGTTAGGACCTGTCCACCGACTCTTTGTTTATGAAACTCTTAAAAAAACATTATACTACAATATTGTAAGGATGGATTATGAAGATAAGCTAAAAAGATACTACAATCAGAAACAAACAACATAAATTATTGAAAATGATTGATTATTGTTGGCGGTTTACAAACATAATAATAATCAGAACCAAACAACAAAAATTATTTAAAAGGATTGATTTTTGTTAGGGGTAAATTTTATCCAGACAGACCTTAAGTAAATTCATCTATTGGCACTCCTCTTGCTTGATGGAGGATAAGATGAGCACCAAATTGTGGGCGAAAGGTGAAGACTGTGTCAGGCGCATGAACATAGGAAGGAGAGAGCTCGAAGGAGAATCTCTATAGAATCAATGCCATTGCCATCTTTGCCTCCAACATAGCAAAGTTCTGTCCAATGGAGATCCTTGGTCCCCACGCAAAGGGAAAGAAGGAGACTTGGCTCTTTGTTGCCTTTGAGATACTGTCTTTGAATCTCTCATACTTGAATTCCGCTGCATTGATACCCCATAGCTCTGTGTCGCGTTGGACTAGCATAATAGGTAGACTGATTTCAACACCGGCTGGTAGTGGCTATCAGTCTGAACAAAGGGAATGTTTCTGTCCTCCGGAAATAAGAAATGTTGTTGAAAACTTCCTTGATATGCTCAGGATCCATTATCGTGATGACTGGTGTAGTTCCAAGGCATGTAGAGTTTAGTTTTTGGTGCATTTTTAAACATTTGAATGGAAGAATATAGTAAATAAAAATCATTGATTATAAATTTATATCCACCTTTCTAAATTACATTCACAAATAGAAAAATTAACAAATTAAAGCAAATCCATAGTAGAAAGATAACAAAACCATGATAGATTTTTAAAAGATCTCGACTATATAAAGAATTGGAGAAGAATAAAAGAGAACAAAATAAGAAGTGTGAAATCTTTTGTATCTCCCTAAACGAATGAAAAAGAATATTATATAGAAGAACGAGAAAGAGAAAATAAAAATAATATACGTCAAAATTATAGAAATAAGAAGTTAGCGAAAACAAAAAATTAGTATAATAAAAAATACTACTACTTATATTATTAAAATCTTTATTTAATTAATTTATTAAAAAAATATTGTACCTGCATAAGGTGCGGGACAACCACCTTGTACACTTAATTTTCTTATATCTTATATAATTAAATAGGTAAATAATTTTAGTGATGATGTGGAATGATACTATTGGCTATTTAAAATTTATATAATTATTTTTCTTATCTCTTACGTATTTAAAATTGGAAATTTTCTTAATAATGAGAAGGCTTATGTGGACTAATCAAATTCATTTTTTTTCAATCCTTGATGAACAGCTTCAGAGGCCTATAAAGTCAGCTTTTATTAGTAATAGACTAGGGCTAAGCCTGCGGGATGCGCGGGTTGTGACTAGTACAAAGTTTTGTTATTTATATTTTAATTGTCATTTGAATTTTGTAAATTTTTTGTCTCTTATTTTTCAGATATGTTAACGTGCTGTCAAAATGTAAATGTATATTACTTCTTGTTTCCTCTAAAATCAAATTCCTTAAAATGTTTTCCATGTGCCACAAATTAATTGTGGCTAATTGTAGCATATTGAAAATTTTATACTCTAATCCTAAACCCTAAACTAAAAAAAAAAAAAGCAAACCCAAAATTCTAAACTTAAACCTTATACCATAAATCATAAACCATAAAATTTTATTCCAAAATAAAAACATTAAATCAGAATTAGAAAAAAAAAATTTTAAGTCATTCCAAACCCTTATATCTAAACCCTTAAATATAAATCCTTTTTTTTTTGGTCAACCAAATATAACCCTTACATGAAAAAAAAATCTAACACTTATAAAAAATCATACAATTTTGTATGATTTCATATTTTTCTAAAATGAATATATTTTGTTAATTAATCTAATCCTTTTTTTTGGTCAACCAAATATAACCCTTACATGAAAAAAGAATCTAACACTTACAAAAAAATCATACAATTTTGTATGATTTCATATTTTTCTAAAATGAATATATTTTGTTAATTAATACTTATAACAAATTCAACATTAAATAATATGATAAACCTTAAACTCTAAACCTTAAACATAATTAATGATTGTATTTATCTAAAAATTTTATGTAAATTTCTATATTATTACTTATTTTGTCTAAAATCAAATATTCAACAATGGTAACCTTTGTTTCATTATATGTAAAGGTTTTAATGTTATTGATAGGAGTCCAAAAATGGATTTGGATGTAAAGAGACAATCAGTGATAATGTGGTAAGAAAATGTTAATTGTTTATGTTCTCCTTTTCTAAACTGTGGCACTTCGGACACATGCCTCCGCGTAGAGAAGAGTTGGGGAAAGGATTAGAGTAGAGACGCATGGCCTATGAGGAAACACTGTTCAATCACATCATTTCCCTTCCATTTCAACGAGACCTCGCACAACTTCTCTCCCCGGAAACTACTCCAATAGTAATGACTCCCTCTGCTTCCCAAAATGGCGGAGTACTGGTTTTTCATTATAACAGGTTGTACGTAAGTGCATTTCTCCGAATCTCTTTTCATTTATCAACACATGTGCTGTAGATGTAAACTATAAATAATTTGCATTGTTACCAATACCATGACTCTTAAAGTTGCTGTATCCATCTTCATTCTTTGTTCCTTGTTTTAAACCCCGACAAGATTTCATGAACAGAACCTTAAGAGATTACTATGTTTCATATATATGAGCTTGGTGGAAAATAAAGTAAAAATACAAGGAATGATCTTAAAAATGGTTAGTTATGAATCTAGAACTTTAGTCATAGAGCGTATACAGCAAAAATTAACACTTTTTGCAGATCACTGATTGTTCTAGAAAAATATTAAAATTATTCAAAAGCATACTAAACCCAACATTTTCAAGCTAGATAGACCTGGCCGTATTTTAGTATTTTACTTTTCCGAGGGGCGACCCTATGTCAGTACTCATATTCCATCTCTTTTGTGCAGCTGCTGAATCCTCCTGCAACAATATCCAACAAACAGAATTTAAAACATTTTAAGCAATTTAGAACTCTACTTCATCTATTCGGAAATTCCATCCGTTTTCAAATCTATATGGATCAACTGTCCACCAAGGATTTGGAATTGCCATAAATATAAATTTACTCTACCACGTCTTAATTTTGTCAACACGGTTTGAATTTAGCTCTTTCCCATCTTTGTAGTCGATTCCGTGCAAACAGTCTCGAACTTTGATGTTTCCAAAGAAAAGCAGATCCCTGGTACTGACAATGCACAAAAAGAGAAGAAGTGAGACACAAATAATCCAAGATGATATTTAGGTAGAGTCTTTGGAGTGGGAGTGAAAGAGACGATAACAAAGCTGCCTGTTACCCTATAACTAAACCCTTGACAACTTAAAATTAAACGGAAGCATACATGAGAGGTGAAATCTTTGATTTTGTGCTAAGTTCCTTGAGTTTTTCCAGTGTAAAAATACTCATTTTGTGCTAAATAGTTCTCTGAAATTAATTTTCGAAGCCAGCTTGATTGAGAAACTCCATGTCGACTTAGAGACTGAGGGTATCTTTTCTAATAGCTCGCTTTGGAAAAACAGATAGCTTACGACACACGAATCAGATAACTCAAGAAGCAAGTCATGAAGGGAAAGCTGGCATTGGCAGAAATTGAAAGCGACCTAGACAAAGAGAAAGCCGTAGCAACGGCTGCATTGATGTTGCTTGACTGAAATTATAGCGGAAGCTGTTGCTTCTTCTTAACTAATTAGGTCAAGAATTTTCTCTCCATTATAGGAAGTTAGTTAAGAATATGTTTTACTTTCACACTTTTTATTTAACTTTCTTTTCTTAAGAAACAAAGGAGAGCCTTCTCTTTTTTTTTTGGTCAACAGCCTATGTTTCTATATCGGTTCCGGAAGCAAAACCAATGGAACATAGTATACTAATCATAAGGCAGATCTCGAGCACTTTGTGCTAACTTGTCCGTCTTCGTGTTTTCTTTTCATTGGGATATGAGTTAGGGAGAACGCCTGAAACTTCCTCCTGCACTTCTCCATCTTCAAGGAGAATTCCGAACGCCATTCATCAGGTTTAGACATTATCTTCACCAAATCAGAACAGTCCGTTTGAAAATTCATTTGCCGTTTATTATGGACCAGCATACTTTGCATAGCCAATACCAATGCTTCCAGTTCGATTTGTAAGGGGTATAGACCCCGTCGTAGCTTACTAGCCCCTACTAATGTTAACCCTGATCCCGGGTCAAAATATACCAAGCTAATCCCGCTTGACATTTTGTGTCCTTCCACGACCCATCTATTTGGTACCATGCGCCGGGTGGTGTAGAATTTAGATGAAGTTCCGTCCTCATAGGCGCCATTTCTTACAGCGTCTGAGAAAAAGCTCATGCACGGGCCTCTATTATCGCTGAGCCCAGGACATCCCTCGGTTCCTTATCGTCATTCACATTTTTTTTTATCATTTCGACCTTTCCAAATAAACCATCGTAACCACCATGGATATATTAACATGTCGTTGTCATCTGAAATATTCCAGAAAAAGATATGTCATATTAGTAAACTAAGTTCTTGTAGGAAAATGTTGGGGAGGTTAAAACTAGAATTTTCCACACTCTATTTTTTTTGTTTTTGTTTTGTTTTGTTTTTTTTATAACTTTCAAGTAGCTTGGACCGAAACCTTAATCTCTATGGGGCCCAGAGTCAGCCTTTAATGTATTCCCTTTGGGAATACCCCTCCTCTCAAGTGACTTGAACGACCTCTTGTTACAAGACCTCTTATTGAGTTGAGGTTATCTCTTGTTTAACTTTTTATTGGAATCATTGTTACAAGTCGAAAGCTAATAAGTTTTATTAATTACACTTCGATTTTTGATATGGGATACAAATAAGACCCATATAAATCAACAACTATTGAAGTTTAGTACACATATAATTTTGACATAATCTTTTTACTATTATCGAGAAGTACATGGAATATTTTAGACAAAAAAACCAATTTTATTATAAAGGGAATGTGTTTGACAACATATTTAATTAAGATCAATTTTGTAAAAAACTGCCGAGTCCACTGAGTCAACTCAGTAACTCGGGAATAGCCCAGGCATAATTAATCGGGTCAAGATGCAGACCCTACATCCACTTAAAACAAACCGGACTCAATAACCACAAATAACCATAAACCAACCCACAACGACTTATATGCCGGTACAATTGTTTTATCAACTGACATTATAAAAAAATTGGAGATCGGAAAAAAACTTGCCTTATTATTTGAAGGTGCCAGTTTCTCGACGATGCCAACACAAATGTTTTCCCAGATTATTAATGCTAACACCAATCAAAGCATGTGAAATCTTATATACAAAAAGAAGCCATCAACATAAAAGAAATCGAAATATCTTAAAGATATTATATAGAACACCAATTATGATAATTGCAGAGATTCGACAACATCTGTTACCTCTTCTTTCGGCAAGCATATCAAACAAGTTATTCAATTTGGAATAAGTTGTAGGCTTTCAAGAAGAATCGGGGAACTACTCGTCATCTCCAAGATCACATAATACCAGCCAAATATTTGAAGTTTGATATAATATTATTTTTATTTTTCAAGCTTTCGATTTACAGTAGCTCTAATCAGTATGGACATATTGTTTAGAATCAGGTAGAGAAAGAAAGCGAGGGAGAGTGCAAGGAAGGATAAAGCGGTGGAAGAAATGACACATGTTTTTATTTATTTTTGTTTGTTGTTTATTTTTAAAGGGGAATTTGTTTGCTTAAAAAATTGACGGTGTACAAAACAAAAACTAATGTACAGAAATATAAAATCAAACAAAACACCCAATATTGAAACTAATACCAAACTTAACAAATATTACAAAAAAAAAGAGAATACATAACACCTTGCTGCTACGCGGGCACTCTTCTACCATATATGAAAAAAAAAAATGGGAAAATTGGAATTAAAGGATGTTTTAACTATATGTTTGGTGATCTATACCTTTTTTTTGTACTTTGGGGGATTAGTCTTTACATGAGCTTAAAATACAAATATACCCCAACTAATTAAAAACTATAAATTTTTATTTAAATATACATTTAATAAACAAAATATATAAAATTTAGGGTTTATTGTATGTGAAAAAGTTTTTACGTTCTTCTTTTTTGTTGATCTTTTTGTTGAGGTGTTAATCAAATAAGCTCAGAGCACCCTTTGCCCTAACTCAAGGTATTTTATTCTACTATTTTGAAGATTTTGCATTCATATTCAAACTTGTTTCATGAAACTGTTATTTTTCCCTTAATGATCGGTTTGAGAATGTTCGTTTCGTCTGATTTTCGCCTAACTCTGGCTCGTACGAACCTGCAAACTGGGACCGGTCGAACACTTCTTCCAGCAGAGAGAATGGAGGTACAGAGATTTCTTCCGAGACACTTCTTCCAGTAGATTCGAGTGAGTTTCGTCTTCTCCCATCAGTAGAAGATCCTAGCGAACAAGACTACCGCAAGTGGATGATGGATGCAGCAAAAAAGAACAACAACATGTTGCACCGGATTTGGGGTGCTCTTAATCGGATCAAGGTGATGAGATCTATGCGTACAGACATCCCAGAAGAGGAAGAGGAAGAGGAAGAGGAAGAGGAAGATGATGAGATGACTGAAGGAGAGGATGATGAGTTAGCGGAGGAGGCTGCACCGAGCGGAGATAGACGCCTGCCTAGGAGGAGACACAGTCCAGGTCAAAGTGGGAGCGTCAGCCCTAAAGAGCCTTAGTGTTTGATTATTTAACAGTTATTGGTTTTAAGTTGTTGCTCTATTATACTGGTGTTATGTTGCTCTATTAGACTGGTGTTATGTTTGTTTTCACTATGCCAAACAGGTTCGGAAAGACACGAATAAGTAACAAACTGACCGTTATATTCTCAATCCCACCGTTGATTATGAACTCCAATGTGTCAAAGTCTCGTATACCAAATATCAGCTCGATCGGACTTCATTTAAGCTTCCAAAAGGTCACTTCAAAACACTGCATCGAAACTGCTTTTTTGGAAATCTCAGCCTTGGATGATTTTGTGCTAATTTGTATTGCAATTTGCGGATGCGTTATAACTCCAAATGATGAAAAGTTATCTTCTGTGAATTCTACGAGATGTTATCTTTCCATAGACATCTCAAACGTGGTCAAACTCATTTTTCTCCGGCTGGAATCGTCTTCCAAAGTAGGCTTCGCACACACTGTTTTCCTGAGAAAATTGCAGGTTTCTCAGCAATTTCTTGGCCAGGAAGCAACGCTTGTAAAATGCACCTCCGGTGGGACTAGGGTTCCGACTTGACTTCTATGAACTCTTGGGTTGATTGAAAATATGACTAAACCGTCTGTGCATCAAATGGACATCTCGTGTGCTGACAGTAAGCTTCCAAAGTCACCTCATCAACACTGCTTTACTTTGTTTGCTCTCTTCTTCTTCTTCACTTATTTACCTCTGTTTTTCTCTGGTCTCTGCTTCTACCTGATCATTTACCTCTTCTCTTTAACGCCATGATCTAGATCTCCCGTGTCATATAATGTTCAATGCTTTAGCTTTTACACGCAAACCGATCGGTTTAGGGGTCAGACCGATCGGTGTAAAGACCGCAGAGAAAAAGTTTTATTAGAACGATCGATTCTTCGAGTAAATCGATCGTTTTTGATACGAGAACGAAAATCATAACCGACCCTGAGACAAAATTGTACGAACCGATCGGTTTCGCAAACAAAGCGATCGGTCTACGTTTTTCAAACGAATAGAGAAAAAATAACAGAAAGTGAGTTCAAATAACAGAAAGTGAGTTCAAACCACCAAAAATAGCAGGGAATAGAAGAGAAGTGCCAATGCACTAGTCTTGATACAAAAGAATAGCAATGACTTCAAATCAACAAAAAGAAAACCAAGTACTAAGATAACCAAACTCGAACTATGCCACATAAACAACATGTAGTTATATGGGTATATCACATGTAGCTCTGTTATGACCTTCATGACCACAACGGCTGCACTTGTGCCTGCGCTTCTGTCTTTTAGATCCTTGAGATCCTTGTGATGATCTAATCTTGTCTTCAAGTGAATCAAATCTTCTCTTCTTTCTTCTGCTAGATCTCCGCTTTGTCTTGGGTGGAAACACTTTTGCATCTTCAACATCTTTTGGGATACGCCATTCATCTTCAGGAACATATATAGGAAACAGTTGCTTACCAGCTGTGAAAAGGGAAGAGAATTTGAGCAGAAAAAAAGAGATGTTCAGTTCAAAAGAAACGTGATGAGAAGGAGGGAATGAGAAAAGAAGGAGATGACGATGGAGGAAATGGGAAAAGAATGGAGATATTTTGACAGATTTTTTGGAGATTTCGTTTCCTAATATTGATTTTCTTTTATTTTTAGAATCTAGTGACATAGAAGGTGCATTCTAGAGTTTTTAGAACATGTGTAATCTCTAGAATTTGCATTCTTAAAATCAAAGAAGACGCATTCTAAAAGTTTTAGAATATGTACAGACTTTAGAACACGGATTCTGAAAATTTTAGAAGGGAGAATACGCATTCTAAAAAGTTTAGAATATGTACAAATTTTAGAACATGCATTCTAAAACTTTTAGAATATGTTCAAACTTTAGAATTCATATTCTAAAACTTTTAGAACGTAGAATGCGCATTCTAAAATATTTAGAATATGTACAAATTTTAGAATATGCATTCTAGAGTATTTAGAATATGTTGAAACATTAGAATTCATTTTCTAAAAAATTTAGAACGTAGAATGCGGATTCTAAAAAATTTAGAACGATAAGTAAATATTTTTTTTTTCAATTTTTGTTGTTACACTTAAAATTATAAAAATGTTACTATGGTGTTTTCAGTTTTTTATATATTTTTTCACATTTCACTGAATTTTTAAAAAATGATTTGATTATTATAATAATTTAGATAAGGCTAATTTAGTCAAAAAATGAACAAAATACTAAAAGGTGTAGATTACCAAACATAGATATGAAACATCCTTTAAATCCAATTTTTCCAAAAAAAATCGGATTGGGTTTGGTTACAGTTATTCCTTTGTTCCGGATTTTTCGGGTTTTAAAAAGATTTTACGGGTTTTGGGTTTTTAGATTTATAAATAACATGTGTGACAAAAAGGTATAATATAAAGGTTCGGGTTTAGTTCAAGTTTGGGTTTGGTTTGGTTTCTTCCGGGTTTGGTTAAGGTTTTAGGTTTTACGAGTTTTTTCCGATTTTCTCAGGTTTTTTAAAGATTTATCAAGTTTTTACGGGTTTCGGATTTTCGGGTTTAGAGATTTAAAAACCATTTGAGTTTTTGTAAAATTTTGGTTCGGATTCCTTTTGGGATATTCTTGACAGATTAAAGTTTTACGGATTAGACTATTAAATTTTTTTGATAAAAATGTAATGTACCACCGCACAAACGTGCGGGTCCTCTACTAGTCTATTAGTATAATACAAGAGGCCAACTTTCTTCGCAGACTGACACGTCAGCACCGGAGAGAGCGCCATGTGGCATTTTCAATAAATTAAAAAAAAAAGTTTGCAAAAACAACAACAACACTTCTCATCGTCGATTCACTCTTCCTCAAAACTTGTCCTGAAGCGCAGTCCTAGAACCGCACAGTCTCATCTTTACTTTCCGTATAAAGCTTTGACAGAAAAATCCCAGTGACAGCCTGCCCAAGAAACTGGAACTTAAAAGCCTGTCAACATAGCCCACACAACACAAGAATCGAGCATTACTTTGGAACCCATATAAACTCACATGAAAAATGAAATGCGAAGAAGCTGTAAAACTGTATTCCCAATAATATTCGATTTGGACATTACATGGAAAAAAAAAAGAGAATAAAGAGTGTAAGTGTTGGCCAATTAATACGATTCGATGAAGATAGGAGGCATCTGATATACCTCTATTTTACATGCTTTTTATATTATTTTACTACGGTTTTCTAATGGCTTTTACCAGGTTTTCTATATAAAAAGGTAGTTTTATTGGATTTATAGTAGTAAGAGTCTAAACACGTGAAATGATGCATTTTGGAGCAAAACCACAGGAATTGCACTTCATCCCGCTCCATACCGAAGTATCAACTTTGAGAAGGCCTGAAAAATAATTTACTCAATGGATTTCATGAAGACCAGTTCCATGAGTGAGTTAACTCTCCAACGCAAGTGGATTCACATCATTTGGATGAGTAGAAACGGAGTAATGATCGATTGAGTGAGGACTGGTCTAGACGTCTAAAACCGCGCAGCAGCGCCCAAGACCGCACGCACCGGCCGACCGAGGAACTATCTTCCCATGATCGACCCGCGCAGAACACCACATTTATGCCGCCTAGTGCACGGCCGAGCGCACATACCGACCTGGAAAGCATCCGCCCGTGGTCGACCCATTCCAGTCCCACGACTATGTGCTGCGCACGACCGCGCTGCGTGAACCGAGAAGCTTTGTCCCGCGTTCGACCTTCCCGCTTACCACGATCCGTGTACCATGCACGACCACACCGTCCGACCAGGAAGGCATCATCCCCCGTCCGGCCAGAACGTTCAACGAATCTCATCCGTCCGGCCAACCCCGACGACCGAACGTGAATTCTCTCGGCCACGATCGATCCGATCGTACCGATGGCCGATGAAAACCCGATAGCCGGCCGAACGTCCCGACTGACTGTCTGAAGCCCGTTTCACACGTATTCACGGCGAGACTTAACCTAATGCCGCCTCCAAAGACCTAGCACTATAAATACAACTTTTTAGCCTCTTGAGAAAGAGAGCCGCATATTGTATCACGATTTATACTTAGAGTTTTGTTCTAGAGATTTCAAGGAGAAGATATCTCCTCCTTACTTCAATTTGGAGAAGTTTATAAACCTTTATCTATCTGTGATGTTTTCTTCATCTCTTTATGTTATGCTTTGATCATGTATGAGTAATCTACTTGCTAGGGTTATTAATCAATGAGTTGCTTGATGATCTATGATTTCGATGATTTGTTAGGGATTACTTTAGAATCTTTGTCTCCTCTTGTTCACTTAATTAATGGTGATTGCTTTACCGCACATCTAGTAATCTGATCATAGGTTGATTTGAGCCACGAAAGTGTTGTATCATTTGCCGGACATATTCTTTTACAAGCTAGGTTTCTTAGACTGCGACAATTGATTTAATTAACCCAGTGAACTGAATCGGAACCCGCTCGATCTAATGCTTGAATAACCATCTAAGGACATACCAAAAGTTTAGCGATTAGATAGGTTATTCAATAAAGATAGGAGGCATCGTATCTAGAAATCTGTAACCGTGTTTTGTAGACGGAAATCTAAGCGTTGAGAAGGAATGAATCGTCAATGAGAACAACCGTCGCTGTTTTTGCAAACGTTTTTTTTTTAATTTATTGAAAATGCCACATGGCACTCTCTCCGTCGTCAACAGGAGAGAGCTTCTTATGTAGAAATCTGTATTTTTTGACAGAAACCTAAGCGTTGAGGAAGAATGAATCGCCATTGCTGTTTTTGCAATTTTTTTTTTAATTTATTGAAAATGTCACATGGTGCTCTCTCCATCGTCAGCAGGAGAGAGTTGACCTGTTATGTAGACATATGTAATCATATTTTGTAGACGGAAATCTAAGCATTGAAGAAGAATGAATCGTCGATGAGAAGAGCCGTTGCTGTTTTTGCAAACTTTTTTTTTTAATTTATTGAAAATGCCACATGACACTCTCTCCACTGCTGACTTGTCAGTCTGCTGGAGAGAGTTAACCTCTTATTACATAATAGATATGATCAACACAACACAACACAACCGAACAAAACACAAACAGTACGGGGTAATCTGTATACGTTATACAACTACAGCTTGCGAATGAGAAGTGGAGCACCAAACTGTGGATGAAGGGTGAAGATTAATTCAGGCGCATGAACATAGGAAGGAGAGAGCTCGAAGGAGAATCTCTGTAGAATCAAAGTCATAGCCATCTTTGCCTCCAACATAGCAAAGTTTTGTCCGACGCATATCCTCGGGCCCCCTCCAAAGGGAAAGAAGGAGAGTTGGGTCTTTGCTGCCTTAGAGACACCGTCTTTGAATCTCTCAGGCTTAAATTCTGCTGCATCTTCGCCCCAAATATCCGGGTCACGGTGGACTAGCAGAATAGGTAGATGGATCTCAATGCCAGCTGGTAGTGTCAGATCGCCTAGCTTCATCTCTTTGTGAGTGGCTCGGGTCAGCTGGATTACAGAAGGATATAGCCTAAGGACCTCATATTGTATCATAGTCATCTGTGAGGGGATCAAATCATTCAGCAATAATCATTAAAATAAAACAGGACTCATGTCATTTGGACGTTTATAATTCGATTTTTACTCACAACTTTGAGCTGGTTCAGGCCATTTAAATGAGGTTCTTTATCGCCAAAAACTTGCATCACTTCTTCTCGTGCGCGAGCTTGCCAGTCTTGGTGTTGGCTTAACAGCACCATTGTCCAGAGCATAAGTACTGAAGTTGTATCTTGCCCGGCGAAATAGAAAAACTTGCACTCCTCCAACACTTCCTCAGTGCTCATTTTGTGTCCTTTTGCTTGCCCCATATTCGATTCAAGAAGTATATCCAGCAGATCATTGCTTGGTGCTTCCCCAGATTCTCTCGCCCTTAACCTTTTGTTAATGATGATCCCTCTCAGTATAGCTCTGATTTCTCTGTCTGCTGCTTTCATCCTTCTATTATTCTTCGTCGGGAGATAACTATGCGAAAAAAGATCAAGTGTCAATGTCAAAATGTGGGGAGAATATCCAAGAACATGGTTTATAATCTCAGGTAAGTAATCAAGAGTCAATCTCTAAGCGTCTTGTATTAAACCAGACAAGTTGATGTTTTTCATTACTGATATCCAGGGATGAAAACTGTCTTAAAAGCTTGTACGATGAGGTCCAATATTTCTGTTTGGAGCTCAAATACCCTCCGCCCTTCTTTGTAGCTGCTGCCAAAAGCAGTACGAGAGATCACTTCTGCCGTTATACTCACTAGCCAAGGCCAAACGTCCACTTCACGGGACGATCCTTTATCCGGGACTAACTTGTCCCATTCACCAACAACCTCGCTACAACTTTGGTGGAATATAGGTACAATATTCTATACATACAAGTAGAAGGCACGAATTGGGTCAGATCAAAATGAACATACATACATACATACATACATACATAAAGCAATGTAATTTGTTTCCAGGGTTATGAAATAAGAAGCCTAAACCTTAATCTTCTCAAGGTGGAAAGCCGGGTTGATGATTCTTCTGTGTTTTGCCCATTTGTCACCTTCATAACTAAAGACTCCAGTGGCTATGAATTTGGCCAAAGGGAATGAATGCGGCTTTTGGAAATCATAATTTGTGTGGAACACTTCCTTGATTTTCTCAGGATCCATTAACGTGATGACTGGTGTAGTTCCAAGCCATGAAAAGAAAGTCTTTCCTGTTCAAACCACCAAACATATACAAAAGTTGATTATGTTTAAGTTAACACAGATAAATGAAGAGGTATATAAGCTAAACATACTGTGAGTCTTCAGCATTTGCATGTGAAAAGGCCAGAGACGTTCTCGGATATCATCTGTTACTTTGATTGGTTTAGATCTTGCCTCCTTCATCATGTTGGAACTCTTCAACACATCGCCGACGAGAGGCGTGTAAGGCGTTCCCGCAAGACCCTGTCTTCTCAGGCAACTCTCAAGCATTTTTGGTTTAAACCAAATCCAATTCAAAGCTCTCCATACCCACCACGACACAAGAGCTATAGCTATTGATATTGTAACCGATGCAAGTGATATCTCCATTTTGTCTCCCAGAAAAGAGAGAGAGAGGGAGACAGAGAGTTGGATAAACTGCTAACTTTTGACAATGTCGTAGAAGATATTGGTGTGCATGGTAATGAAAAATAAAGTTAGCAGATTACATTGATATATATATAATGTTTTTTTTCCCTTGGAATTTAAGGGGAAGTACCCATTGAGAGGGATGCTCTTAAATACCCCATCTGTATTTTTTGTGTCGGCAATTATTTTGTTTGAGCATTGATCTTGTGCTTAAATTGGAGCCTCACAGTCACATATGCCACCAAGGGCATTTTGGGTTTGTGTGGACTGAAACGCTACAAAGAGTGGAAAAAACATTCATTATGCATGCATGAAGATAATAAGATAATAAATTTGGTCGTTGTGGCCAGACTCTATAAGCCTATAACTTGAGTGGGGTGAGGGGGGACGTTTCTTAGTCAATCGTCAAGTTATGGTGTCAATAATACGTTTAATATCTCTTAAATTTTTTTTAATGTCAATAATACGGTGTCAATAATAAGGCATTTGACCAATGCCCAAAACACATAGTTATTAGGGAGGATGAATCGAGTATAAGAGATTATTGAGATGAAGATAAGATTGATAGAATAAATAGCGTCATAAGCTTTATTTATGTACAGTAAACTAAAGGAAAGAAAAGAGATTCAAGATTGTCACCAAGATCTCAAATGATTTTCGATTGATATTATAAATGGTGGAGAAGGAGAGTTGCTTTGTACACATTGCATGTCAATCGCTTTTTCACATATCAATCACATTTATACTAATATACTTCAAAGCCTAACACACATGGACACTACTTTAGGCTGATAGACATTGCATTGGGCTTGTTCGTTGGACTCTAATAATCTCTATCGATTAGGGTTTAGCGTTTCTCATTCTCCATCCATCTTACACTGCTTCTACTCCCCACCTCTATCTCTCAATTTTCGTTTCAACTGGGTGTTAGATAAATGATTGAATCTCTTGGATCGTGAAAAAGATGGGTTACTATCATTTCCCGAAATCTTCAGAATATAGAGTCGTTCAATTACCGAGAAGAAAGCTATGATTTTTCAAAATCATTGTGTCAGGGATCGCGATACAAATATAGACGAGACGGGGATTAAAAGAGAAGAGAATCGCAACAACTACAAGTCTATCTTAACATTAAAACCAAAAAAAAAAAAACTACAAGTCTCATCCTAAAGAAAAGAGTCACGCTATACAAGTTTTCAGCGACAAACATTTGATGCACTCTACAAGCTTCCTTCCAAGCAACCTAAATTTAATTTTATTTTGTGTCGATGGTCGCTTACCTAGCAATTCTGAAAAAGGATAACAAAATTTAAATTTTGATTTTACGGGTGAGTTTTCCTATGCCTTTAAAGCATTATGTATATGATAAGTTTATATGACAAGTCCGGTACACAAAGAACAAACTTATGTATATGATAAGGTTAGAAATATAAAACAAAATCAATTTGTCGATTAGATTATTCACGGTGTCTCATATGATAGACAGATTTAATTTTTCAGTTATTTTTAATTTTTAATATTTTGAAAACAATTTCAGCAAATGATCAACACAAGCCAAAAAGGTATAGTGATCCGAACTGTGGTTCAACATCAATAAATCTACATAACTAATAAGGCTTGCACACTCTCCTGCTCGGGACACGTGGCACTTTTTTTTTTTTTCCCTTCCAATGCCAAAACGACGTCGTTTTGCGTC